TCATGTATAATAAACATGGCTATAAAGTGTAATTAATTTTTATAAATGTTTATAATCATGTTTATAGTGCCGTATGAATGCATTATAACATGTTATAAATGTGTTTATATATGCTTACAAACGTGACATTCATAGAAAGTGTTATCGATGAAACTAATCCAGCTCCAATATGGATGTCATAGTTACTGAATAATTTAAATTACTCGCTAAATAATAAATCTTAAGATTAATAACTGAAGAGTAAGTGGTTAAGACAAAGCACTGTACTGGTCTAAGGTCAGTATATTTGGCCAACAGCAGCCTAGCTCTCCCATGGCTGCCCTGTACCTGCGAACGCATTGACATTGGGCTCGTGTCAGATTTCTGCAGACATGCTGATGTTGATGTATCTCTGAGGAGCGCGATTGATCACAGCCACTCTCAGTGGAGCTGAGAGAAAGCAGTGATATGATGTGAGCTGCGCAGATAAAGCAAGAGGGAACTCTTACAAAGATGCACTTATGTTGGGAAATGTGTCAGAGGCATGCTGTAAACTAGAATAGTCATTACTGAGTCATCCTTCAATATAATCACTCTGTTTCTGATGTAATTTCCAGGAGCTTATGTTTGGGTAAGTGCGCGGAGCATTTTGCCTTTACTTTAGTAATGAAACAGAATGTAAGGCAGATTCTTTTCATGTTGGCTTACTGTTAGAGGTTCAGTGAACTCATAGTTTAAGCAGGTTCCTTTTTTTGTTGCAGTTTGAGTCTAAATTGAAACTAATTTTTTTATGCTGCTGTGGTTTGTTATTGTAGTGTTTGTTTTTTTAATGCAGCATGCACATTTTAGACATCATCACTATATATTTATGTGTATTTTGTATGTTATACAAATATATTGGTTCATCACTGAGAATAGCCAGTAAGGATGACTCACGGTTTTATTACTGTTTCAAAAATATTGCTGATACTGTGTTGATAATACCAGATATTTTTTGTCAAAGCATTATTGGGATTTAAATTAGTGAGCTCCTGACATTAGGATGAAATCTTAAATGGTTGTGCTGACTTGACTTTATATCAAAATGCTTTTTTTGTAGTTTTGAAGCTTTTACTGCCATTTTCTATGCTTTTTGGAATGGAATATCATTACACAATTGCTTTTAATTATACTGTTGTGTAATGAATTATATTTAAATTCTGTACTGACAGGTTTGAGTGCACAACTTCGGATTGTTTCCAGTTTGATCCAGTATCAATAGATGACAGAAACATAGCAAAAAAACACTGTACACAACAAATTTTCATTTAATTCAAATCATAATGAAATATCTCTTCTGTTTTCAAACACAAATGTGGATTGAAAGCTCGTAATCCGCACTTTTGTTATTGGTTATTATTCTGTTTCTCTGCCTGCTGGTGTGCAGTGATGGAATAAAGCTCAGAAGACATTTTAGAGGCTAAAGTCATTCAATTTTGATGGACGATTGTGAGAAATTTTTTACATGGTGAATGTTATTCAGCCTATAATATGAACAGGGATGTGATTTCTGGTTGCCTTTAAAGAATCATGTCTATTCATGTCTAGTGCTGCCAGTGTGTTAGTTATTGACTAATCTACCAATTAATTTGATGATTAAATGAGTAATCAGAGTTTGTAAAGTGTGTACATAAGCCAAACAAAGAACTGGATAACTTAACAGTAACAAAACATGCAAACCTTAGATTCTACGGTAAGAAAAAATAATCAAGGAAAGCTTTAAAAGAGGATTTAATTAATTAATTAATTAATCCATTCATTCATTTATTCATTTCTTCATAATAAATGGATGAATGAATATATAAATAGTATGTGGGAAAGAATTAAATTTAAAATTAATGTAAATTCACGAGGCTCAGTGGGGCCGATTTTATTTAATTTATTTTTTATTTTAATCCAGTGATTGACTTCAATCAAGTTCTTATGACTGCCTTAGTCGTGTTTCCACACATTGGCCTTGTTCATCAAAGTTGGCGTATCTGTAGCGTCAAACTAATGCACATAAAAGAAATGCACGTAAAAACATAATAGTTTTACCAGCCTACCAAAAAAATGCTTGTTTTGTGTTCAACTAACCAAAACTATTATCAATATAATTACCAATAATAAGAATAAAAACATAAAATCACAAAAATACTAATAAGTTGTGCACATAGCAATCCAACACAAAAGTGGGCGTAGCTACTTATTGGCACATTGGTACAAAACAATTATTGTGTATTCTGTGTTCCATTTAAAGACGCTGTGGTTCTGTTTTATACCACTGACTCCACCCACAAAAATAACTAAGACATTTTTGTTTATTTCACGTTTTATCCTTTCCAGGGGTTGTAATTTTAACACTATAAAGTTTGGTCAGTAGGGGGAGCAGTGCAACGTCAAACTGCACCTCCAACCACAGCCATCGGCTCACAAGCTGCTGAATGCTGTCGTTTTGTTGGCTCCCTCCTGAAAAGTCTGCTTCATGTAAATGATATGTAAATTAGGTGCTGGTAGGCCAGCGCTTGATTTCACGCACTGACGCTGATTCATCATTTGCGCTCAAATCTCCACGTTTACCCGCTTTATAGCTTTATAAATCAGAAACAGCGTAGTATGTAGTTTGTTAAATGAGTTCAAGTCTGCGCTCTTTTTTTTGCGCGGCTTTGATAGGTAATGGCCAATGTTTAAAAAATAATAAATAAATAAAATTACACCATGCCATGGTTAGTGCTGATGATAATTATGACTGATTGTATCTTGAGACAGGATGTGTAGGACCTAATCGTTGTGGAGTTGTGTGCTGTGCGGATTGGAACAGGGCCTGTGGTTTTGCTTGGTGTGAAGGTGTAATCTGCTCTCTCTGTTGGGGCATGACTGGAATGAATTTCATGCCTCTCTTCATGTGCCCCGCTTTCATGGCTGTTCAGTAGGACAATCTATAAAATGGACTTAGCAGCATGCTGTGTTTATAGATAACAGTGTGTCTTACAATGTCTGAAACCACATAAGCAAGTCTAAGAGTTTCCACAGCGCTACTTGGTGTACATAAACTTCAATTACTTGTTAGCTACATTAGCAGTGTAGCTCCAGGGCAAAACTAATGACGCAAACTTCCTTCCGTACTGTGACGGGTTTCTTAGTGAAACTGTGTATCAGAGAGGCTCTATTAACTAGCTGAGCGTCTTCTCTCCATGAGAGGTTGAGGTGGTGGGAGATGGAGGTAAAACATGGTATTATTGGTTGGTATTATTATATTTCTATGCCTGCTGGTGCACATTGATGTAATCAAAGCTCAGAAGACATTTTAGAATCAAAAGTCATTACATTTTGATGGAAGATTGTAAGAAATTTTTTTACACAATGAATATTATTCATAATATGAGCAAGGATGTGACTTCCGGTTGACTTTAAAGAAACTTTTCACCTTTACTCAAAAGCATTGAACTACTAAGCATCAAGCATAGCACTGTTGGTATGTTAGTTATTGAGTAATCTATTGATTAATTTGATGATTAAATGAACAATCAGAGTTTTGTGCGCACACAAGTCAAACAAAGAACTGGATAACTTAACAATGTTATGAGTGTGTTTACATGCACTTAATAATCCGATAACTGCAGAAAATCAGATTTTATCAATAATCTTGAATCATGAAATCATGAAACTTGAGTAATCAGATGATGGGAAACTATGGGTCTACATGAGTCAGTAATTACATTTCTGCTTATTTCCGGTACAACAGTCTGTTTTCACAGACTGAGAAATCCGAAAGAAATCTGAGTAAGAGTTTACATGCACTGAGAAACCTGATTACTGAGCTAAAATCCAGCTCTTTTTTTATCAGATTTCTTAATAAGATTTGTAGACTTTACTCTGATCTAAGTGATCGAAGTGTACTGTTTACATGACCATTTGAATAATCAGATAATTGTAGAAATCAGATTATTGAGTACAAGTCTTAGATTCTACAAGAGAAATAATCAAGAAGACCATTAAAAGAAGATTTGATTAATTCATTCATTGGTTCATTAATTGACTTCTCCATAAATAAATGGATGATATAAATAGCATGTGGGGAAAAAAATTAAAGAAATTAAAAATTCATGTAAATTTACTTTACAGTAAAAGATCGATTATAATTTTATCTATATATGTAGTGTAATCGGGTAATTGACTTTAATCAAGTTGTTATGGCTGCCTTAGTTGTGTCTAAAAAAATCTTGGTGATTTTAAGAAAAGTTTTACCTCCTGTAAACCAGGTCCTGTAAGTCCTAGTTGTATGCAAAAGTTTGGGCACGCTTAAGTTAAGGCATCCTCTTCAGGAAATGCAGCATCCTCTTCTTAAATATAGCAATATAGCACAGGCCATATTTGTATTATCCCCCCCCCAAATGTTTTAAATAAGCAGTAACTGTGTAATAAGATGTGCAGAAGTGTGTTCCCCGTGGACGATGTGGTCACTCATTTTCACTTTTTCGCTTGGAATATCAGCAAACCAATTTTTTTTTCAATCATTTGACCAGGGGTGACTAAACTTTTACATACGACAGTTTAGGGCTTCCGGAGCTTCTGAATCAAGCAAACAGTGTTTCCATTCCAGTCCAGGATTTTAAACCTGATACATTTACATAATGACTGTTTTCCAGGAGGGGAAGCAGCATGAATTCAAATGTTGTGGTTGTTTTCCACGGCGTTTGAAGCTGATTGGTTAAACCCAGCTGTGATGCCAGCTAGAGGAGGAACAGACTAGAGTTTTACAGTATTTAGATGCTTTTCATTTTCCCTTCCTGTGTACTTCCTTGAGTATTTGATGTTTAGCTCTGCTGTGTTGTCTTGTGTGGAGTCTGTCACGAGTATAGGAGTTCAGAAGCCCCTGCCGTTTCCTGGCTGTAAGTGGGCGTTATAGATGAATGTGTTCATCTGTGCTTATGTTAGAGCCTTTGTTTGAGTTTTGGATGGAAACTCTAAATGTGCTCTTTCTTTTGTGTGCTTTCTTTCAGGACTAAGAGGTGGTCAAGATGGCATCACAAGAAGGGGAGGAGCCAAACGGTAACAGCGGCCAATCAGACAGCAGGCTGAAGAACAAGAAGCCGCCCAGCCTGGTGATTGCCATCCCTCCTTTAGAGGACGAAGAAAGAGCAACAGTGCAGGAAAGACAGGTATACAGCACCAACAAACAGACAGATACGGTTAATTTACCTTTATTTTCTATCCATGTGGTCACCAGGAGTCGGAAACGACGTGACTGCACTTAGTGATAATACCTTTATTTTCTAGCAGTGACTATAGAAAGAAATGGTGCATCAGTATGATGGTGGAGATTCAGTCGATGTTAGTTTATTTCAGTTTATTATAACATCATTTGACACAGTTTGTAGTGACACGTATAAAAACACTGTAATAATGACTATAAACTTACAATGATTTTCTCATTGATTTACAAACTGCGCTGCACTAAATCCAATTAAACAAGACTAAGTATGCTACTTAAGTACTGCCGATATCCACAACATGCTCAGAAAAGAGTATTGTAATTTATTGCGATATTGATAAAATGGCATCATATTGACCACCCTTGGTTTTACTGAAGACTATAATGTAGTGTAGTATAGTTTTAATGTATAACATAGTATAGTAGAGTTTTACTGTATAGTATAGTGTAATGTAGTGAAGTTGTGTTGTGTTGTATAGTGTAGTTTTATTGTGCAGTATGGTACAGTATACTATGGCATCGTTGTCCACATTTTTTTTTTTCGTTTTCATTTTTCTACACCATAAAAAAATAATGATGAATCGACTAACAAAAATGCTTCAGAATTGCTTGGAATAAAATCTCTTTCTCTTTATAAATATTAAAATTTAAAAAGCATTCTTGCCTTCTTCTGTAAAGCTGACATTTTGAAGATACTTGGGTTTTTTTGGACAGCGGCAGTATATTTTTATTTTAAAAGTATAGTTTTACGTTATGCTATAAGTTGGTACCATGTATTTTTATTGTCTTTTCCAGTAGTGCGGAAAAAGTTCCTCCAGTTTGTGAATTCAGTGTGTTTTACAAATAATACAATGAAATAGTAATTTAATACAATTCATAACAGTGCCAGAATAATCAAATCATATTGAATCCTGGTGAAATGAGAGATTATACACTGAAACATTTCTTAAAGAAACATAATCTAATTGAATCATTATTAGAGATTTGCACTGCTGAATGAGTATATATATTATTATTGGTTTCATAAAGATCACCCCTTCATTTCAAAACGGCCATTACACAAGTTGCAAATATCCAAGTTATTCATTTTTTCAGTGTCAGGAACAAAAGCAGAAAACATATTTAACAAGAAATTACACAAAAGCCTCCAAAACTAAATATAATATCAAATCTATGAGTATTTAATTTGTTCACTCTTTACTTTCGTGCATGTACTGTGACTTAAACTCTTCCATAACAGTCACAACCGAGTTCTCTTAACAACAATTCAGAAATCTGATGTAAAATAAACCACTTATAAGGAAGGAGAAAGTCACATGAAAATATGTGGGGGAAAAAACAGGAGTTTATGAAACGGGAGTTACAGAGAAACTACAGAGAAAATGGGCCTCCTAATAACCACCTGGAAGACCTGGTAGACACCAAAACTGCCCCCCATCAGATAAACAGCACTTAAAGCTTTCATGTCTGAGAGAGAGGAGAAAATCAAGCTGCTTCAGATCTGAAAACATCCACAGGTGTTTCTCTCCATCCTTCCACTGTGAGAAGACAACTCAGCGCTATGGGTCTCAAAGGATGTGTAGCTGTTCAAGAAGAACCTCACTAAGAAAAGGAGACATATCAAACAAAGAAGCTGAACAATGGACTGACCACCCCAGAGTCCAGACCTCAACACCACTGAATGTGTTTGGATTACTTCAGAAAATGATCAACCAACTTCTAAGACTGAACTTTGGAGGTGTGTCTGCAGATTTCTGTGAGAAACTGAAAGTGAATCTTTTTTACTGGAAATGAAATAAATGAAGGTTGGTCTCTGACTTTTCCACAGTGCTGTAGATTCCTATTTGGTCTTTTAAAAGATAAACAGAAGTGAAAGAGGAAAAACTAGAACTTCCTATGCAATCCAATATTATTAGATCTGTCTACACTGCAAAATCTCTGGTGTTGAATGAACTCCTGCAGTATTTGTTGGTGTCCATCTCAGTTTGAATGAACAGCACATGTATTAATCTTAATAATCAGGAAAAGTTTTAACACATTATAGGAAGATAGAAGAAAATGAACCTTAGATACAGGAAACTTTGAAATTCAGAACTTTAGTGTTGATACTGGAAAAGTCTTTATTATTGACTGTTTTTCTTGGAAACCACTGTCAGTGATCACAACTAGATTTTTTAAAATGAAAATGTATACATTTTATAATCGTATGCGCTTGAATAGAACTTCGTGAAGAAATATAATTTTGTTAACAAAAAAAGCATAAAATAATGAAAATTTAATCAATTCTTGAGCAGAATTTGCCGTTTAGTGTCTCTTTCTTTGCTTCAGCACGGCTGTTCCTCTTTCACTCCCGCTGTGTCTTTTTCACTCCCACTGTTCGTCCACTTAAAGCCGCAGTAGCACAGAACCCCCCGCTGATGTGTCCACTCTGCTTTACAAGACTCCTGCACGTTAATGGAGCTCAAACTGTGATTTCACGCAGTAGTGAACACCAACAGCTGCACTTAAAACAGAGGACAAAACAACTGTCTTATCACATTACTCACACAAGGAATAGAAACTGAAGCAGACTGACCAGTCAAACAGATGTACCATCATTTAGTACTAAGTGTGCCAACTTCATAAGAAGACAACAAACAAAAGAGATCAGATAAAACATTCATCATTCACATTCATCTGCTCTGTTTTATATATGCAACATTTATTTTCAGACATTATGTGGCCAAACGTTTGTGGACACCTGGCCATCATACCTAAATGAGCTTGTTTGCCATCCCATTCCAAAACCATGGGCATGAATATGGAGTTGCCCCCCTTTCCACTGTTCTGGGAAGGCTTTCCGAAGTGTGTCTGTGAGAATTTGTGCCCTTTCAGTCAGAAGAGCATTTGTGAGGTCAAGCGCTGATGCTGGACGAGAGGGCCTGGCTCACAATCAACGTTCCAGTTTAACCCAAAGGTGTTCAGTGGGGTTGAGGTCAGAGCTCAGCAGGTCACTCGAGTTCCTCCACACCAGACTCGTCAAACCGTGTCTTTATGGAGCTCGCTTTGTGTACAGGGGCTCAGTCATGCTGGAAAGGGAAAAGCTCTTCCCCAAACTGCTGCCACAAAGTTGGAAGCATATAATTGTGTAAAATGTCTTTATATGCTGTAGCTTTAACATCACCCTTCACTGACACTAAGGGGCCCAAGCCCTGAAAAACAGCCCCAGCCCATTATCCCTCCTCCACCAAACTTTACTGTTGGCACCTTGCCTTCTGGTAGAGAGTGTTCTCCTGGCTTCCACCAAACCCAGACTCGTCCATCAGACTGCCCGATAGTGAGGCATCATTCATCGGAGCATGTTTCCTCTGCTTCAGAGTCCTGCTCGGACATGGAAGCCGACTTCATGAAGCTTCCCACACACAGTTAATGTGCTGATGTTGCTTCCAGAGACAGTTTGGAGCTCTGTAGTGAGTGATGTAGCTGAGGATAGCATGGCTGTGTGCTTGACTTTATACCTCTTAGGTAAAAAAAAAAAATGGGTGGCTAAAACACCTGAGGGGTGTCCACGTATTTGTATTGTTGTATATTTGCATATATTGTGCACTCCTGTGCAAAAAAAAAAACAGGCCAAGCCCAAAATACTAATGTTTTTTACTGGCCTGGTCATTGAAAACGTATAGAAAAATTTGATAGAGACCAACGTTTAAAGACATCAAAGTGAAAAGCGAAGTGAAAAATTTACTGCATCTATTTGTTTAATGATTTACTGTTAAGACCATTAAAAGCTTAATGGCCTCTGAGTTTTAAATATGTTTGTGTGTGGGCACTTTCTAGGTTTTGCGGCCATCGCTGAAGAAGAGTGTGAGTCTCCTGCAGTCAAATGAAGCGCTGTCGGACAGCGGGAACGAGAGGAGAGCAGCGTTTCGCAGACAGACGTCTCTCTCTCAGAGTATTCGCAGGTAACACGCATTCGCCTTCTGTTCTCTGATATGAATCAGAGCTCTAAAACTCAGATCTTGGAGGACTGCAGCTCTGCACAGTTCACTTTTCACCTGCAATTATACATCTAGTTCAGGGGTCGGCAACCCAAATGTTAGGGAGAGTCATTTTGTCCTTTCAACAAAAATCAAACCACCTTGGGAACCACAACATTTTATGTCCATTTTACCATCTTGCCCATAAATATGTCTCAGTATGTGCTAATGTACTAGTGTAGGCTAAAAATTTAATATAAACAAAAACACAGGCTTACTTTGCTCTCCTTTAAGCTTTAGCTCATCTATAGCTGCTTTTCTCACATCTCGAGCAGGACATTTTCCCTCAAAAGTGAAATAATTTCTTGTTAAATGTCTCTCAACGTTCGACTGTTTACGAGGCTGAAGTCAGCTTCTTGTTCTAATTTTCCCGTTCCATCTTAAATGATGCCAGAGGCACCAGAATGTGACTGCTGCACCATTTAAGGTGGAACAGGAGAATTTGAGCAAGAAGACGACAAATGAGAAGCTGATTTCTGCTGTGTGACTTTTTAGTGTTTGACAGATTCCAGTTGCAGATTAAACATATCAGGAAACCAGCTGGAGTGATTGTAAACACTAAGTCCATTTGTCTCCAAATTATCAATGATCTTTTTCATGGCACTCTCAGCATTTAGTTTTCCTTCATTTGGGCCCTTTAAAAATAAGAAGTGAAAATTTAAATGTGTTGAATTTGGTGTGTTGGAGCATGAAAAAGTAATAAACTAGATAGCCTGAGTCAAAGTCACTGGGTTCACAGCTGTGGTAAACATCTTGACCTTATTGTCCTCATGATTGTCACTGTGTCAGTGTCTTTCCCTCAGGCTGTTCAGTGTCTCATGTCTATCTGTGTTGCAGGGGTACAGCCCAGTGGTTTGGTGTGGGCAGTGACTGTGAAAGTAAACAGCAGGTGTGGCAGAGGAAGAGCTTGCGGCACTGCAGTCAGCGCTACGGCCGGCTAAAGGCTCAATACAGAGAGAACCATGAGGCAGCCAGCATGGAGCAGCCCCTCGACTCACCAGGGGCTTACAAAATGCCAAAGGTACTCAGCAGACACTTCAGCAGGTCTCTTCATAGACAGACATTAGTGACTATAAGTCACATTACAAACCACGTTCAGAAATGATATACATTACCAGAAATATCAGTGCTATATTACAATAAATGCCACTTTTATTAGAGAAATAAAAATGTGTTTTCCATTATACATCCGCTGTTATTTTTCCAGAAACTCGTTAATTGTTACAAATTGGTATACAGCGTTTTGGAATTGAACTCTTCATATGTAGGTTGACAGAGTTAACGTGTTAACAAATTGACATCCTAAATTATTCTTTTTTTAAGACCTGTAGGGCATTTTTTTGGTTTGACCCTTCTATCAGGCCGAAGTCCAACTGCTAATGCCCTGTTCAAATAGCTCCTCTCAGTGGACAGTGCTTATGGGAAACTTGAAGCAGCAAACTAAAAAGCTGTGTGAACGAAAGTGAAAGAGAAAGGCTGCAATCATGGAAGAGTTCAACCATTGACTCTATATATGACACATTTCTATGTATTCCATATATGCAATATGATATCTCTGGATGTCAGATGATCCATTCTGATTATTTTGTACTCTAACACAGCTCTAACAAAGTGTACTGCTTTTTGAATGGAAAAAATGAGTATCAGTTAGTATCAAATTTGAGCAAATTAGAGAAATGAAATTATTTCCGGTCAGCTATAAAAAGTATTGCGATTAATTACGTAAATTTCTTTGATACAAAAAAGTTTCCTTATTCGCACTTTTAAACAAATCAAAAAGATCTTTCTAGAATGTACCCGATAAATGATGACTTATATATTTAGCTTATTACTGTCTCTGTTAATGCCTTGTGTTTAAATAGATTATAGCATAATCCTTCTAAATATCTAAGGTCTCAATACTTCATCATCTTTTTTTAAATCCCAAAATATCATCGAATGCAAAGGTTTGAGCACACCTGGTCAATTGATATCTTTTGTTGATTTTCTAAGTGAAAATAATTCAACACATACTTTACAGAAAACCTAATTATGTACAATTTAATGCCCAATTACTGTTTATTTGCTGAATTTAACACATTGGACAAAAAGTAAACATGCTTCTCATTTCTCATTGGATCTAGTATGCAAGTAAAAGGTTTTGGAATAAGTAATTTTAACCAGCTCTATTTGTTACAGTGTACAAAAGATCTGGGTTGCCTTTGTAGGCAGCAGTTCTGTAGCGATAAATTGTGTGTTTTGAATTTCTTTCTTGATTGTTTTAATTTTGTTATTGAAAAATTTATGAAATCATTGCTGCTGAAGGCTGATGGTATCTGGAGTTCAGTAGCTGTTTGGTTCTTAGTCAATTTAAAGACTGTGCTAAATAATAATCCAGGATTTTTCTTATTATTGTCAATCAGAGAGAGACATGTTGAGAGATCGAGTGTGCTGCAGTAAGTGCCCTGCTATGTCTCTCAGTCTGTTTCAAAGCTCAAGTATGGTCATTGTACCCTGGGGCAGCTTTTTCTGCCTTATTCTTTACTTTTTAATAGAGACACCTTATCTAAAGTAGAGCGAAGAGTCCTCTGTGTCCACTCACTGTCCACTCTGTTAGACGCTCCTACATCGTCAGTCCACCTTGTAGATGTAAAGACAGAGACAGTAGCTCATTTGCTGCTGCACATTTCTAGTCCTTCATCAGTGGTCACAGGACTCTGCCCGCAGGATGCTGTTGGCAGGACGTTTTTGGTTGGTGGCCTGTTCTCAGTCCAGCAGTGACACTGAGGTGTGTAAAAACTCCAGCAGCACTGCTGTGTCTGATCCACTCAGACCAGCACAACACGCACTAACACACCACCACCACATCAGTGTTACTGCAGTGCTGAGAATGATCCACCACCCAAATAGTACCTGCTCTGTGAGGTTCCATAGGGGTCCTGACCACTGAAGAACAGGGTAAAAGGGGGCTAACAAAGTATGCAGAGAAACAGATGGACTACAGTCTGTAATTGTAGAACTACAAAGTGCACCTATATAGTAAGTGGAGCTGATAAAATGGACAATGAGTGTAGAAACAAGGAGGTGGTCATAATGTTATGCCTGATTGGTGTGCATCGACTGTATAAACATCCTTACATTTACAGTATTTGGCAAACTAATGCTTTTCTAATGCACATAGGCCACAGTCTAAAGACAATAAAGCTGAAGCACTGCCAGACACATAAGACTGATACAGAAGTGTAATACAGAGAGAAAACAGATGAGGTTTAACGTCTTAACTGTGATGACTTTATCATTTATTTACATCAGTTTCAATCATCATTAATGTTTTTAGTAGTGTTTAATGGGAACTGTTGTTAATGTTTAATGCTGCTGTAATCATGTAATAAATGTTTAATGTCCATGTGATTAGTCTAAATGTCAGGTTATGTTTTGTATCTCGCTATTAATGGGTTCATTATTATCTCTCTCAGATTGTGGACCCCCTGGCCCGTGGGCGTCAGTTTCGTTATGATGATGCGGAGCGGCCCCGGACCCCCCACGCCGCTCACCCTGTCCCCCCGCCCCCGTTGACCCCAGGCGTGACCTCCATCTGCTCCTTTACCAGCCAGCGCTCCGGATACACTCGTTTCCCGCGGAGAAAGAGAGAATCCGTCGCTCGCATGAGCATCCGCGCAGCATCCAACCTGCTCAGGGTGGGTGTCCGTGTTTCTGTGCAGGAGCGTCCTGCAGCATATGCGTTTGTGCATGTTTAATATTAATACACCCCCTTATGACATGACCACAATCGGAGATGACATAGCGGTATTGATGGGTATCTGTATCCAACTGATATCAGCAGAAAATGCAGGATCAGAGTGAATGTGATCCAGGCCTGAAACAGATCTTTCCTGAATCAGCATTTACTCACAGTATATGTGATGTTAGCTGTGTAGCACTTCCTGTGAGGTATCAGAATCATTGAGCTGCTTCAGCATCAGAGACTTTTAGTGTATTATTTCAAGTGAAGTGCTTGAATTAAAAATAGCTCATTTTAAAGCTAGTAAAAAGAAAAGATATTGGACTAATATATATATATATATATATATATATATATATATATATATATATATATATATATATATATATATATATGTATGTGTATATATATATATATGTATGTATATTTAGATATTATATTATGATATATGATATTATGTTGCATTATATTATATATACTCTCTCTCTCTCTCTCTCTACATATAAATATATATATATATATATATATGTGTGTGTGTGTGTGTGTGTGTGTGTGTGTGTGTGTGTGTATAGTATTATAGTCCCTTGCCTGAAACATGTAGGAAGAGCTTATAATGTAAGACTTGTCCAGTGTAGTGTAGCCAGTGTGGACTGAAGCAGAAATGGAATATGGACGCTTCAGAAATGCATTCAATGTGAATGGCCTTAAGAGCTATTCTTACTGCACAGTTCAGTGGTATTTAATGTCAGTATTTCATTGTATATGATTCGTATGTGTTTACAGTCTATACGGATACACATACGAATAAAGCAAAAATGTGCAGTATGTTTGAGATCCACTGCTCTGATTGAGGTATGATTTAAGCAGTGTTGTATTAACTGTTCTGTATGTGTGTTTAGGGTCGTCCTGGGCTGCAGGGATCACACACGGCCCGCGGTTTCCACCGCAGGAGCTTCGCTCGGCCCAGCTGGTTGGAGGACGATACAGCAGACACAGCAGACACTTCTGATTCAGTCTTCTTCAGCAAGGTGAGTATCTGTCTGTCCGTCTTTTATCTCTTTCATTTTTCTCCACTTCTAGATGAGAACTTAAAGATGAATTCCACAGATTTTTTTATATTTCTGCATAATTCAAGTAAGATGTAAATGTCATTCAGAGTGGTTTGATGTGAAATGGTAGCCATTATAGTTACTATCCAAAACTACTTTTATCTTTTTCCAAGTAATGTTAATAGTAAATTCTTTTTTAAGTTTTATTTCAGGATTATTTTTTTCTTACAAGCAACAGAGCAAAAGTCATTTTCAAATTATGTCAAAAACTTAAAAAAAATGGAGATATGAGGTTTTGTTCTGACAGCAGCAATATATAGAAATAGAATAAAGAAATAAATGAAAACACTATGCACAAGAAAATGCACATAAAAGAGTGTGTTCCTTAGACTCTCTAGTAGGAGTTATTAAAATATGCATTATCATGCACATTACCAGCTAATCACTAATTTTTGCCAATAAAGAAAGTAAATTTTAATCAGCAATTTGTTTAATGAGTAATTGAGTTTAAATATGTAATCATTACAAGGTGAAACTGCACTTCTAATGTGTCTCTTTTTGACAGATGGATGTCCATGAGGAGTTGTACTCTATGGCTGATGATGTGTTTGAGTCTCCTCCACTTTCTGCTGCGTATGCCACAGACAGCACTGTAGAAGAAGCGCTCCGCTACCCCAGCATGTAAGTTCCAGATAAACTGCAGTCAGTCTTTGGCACTATTTGAGTTGAGCTGGTTTTATCAGAAGAGGATGTGTAATGGGCTTTACTGGCTTATTTGTACGAGATGAATTCCTACAGATAGTCTAAGTTGGAAGGCCTGAAATACCCTTTGGTATTTGGGGAGGTCTCGTGTTGACTGGCTACTCCAGCATTGACTGGCTGCTAACTCACTCATTATAGTGGTGCTGATGCTAGCTTGAGTGACAACAAAATGTGTGGTTTGGCAATTCATTTATTGGAAATGCTCTTTTCTGCTTTGGTAATGCGCTCTTCCTCACATTAACTGAGATCTTACACATCTCTTTTTTTTGTCTTTGGTTTGAGAAAATAAATAACAATTCACCCTTTTCACTCCAAGTTTCCAATTTTTTCGATTTGCATATATGCAGTGGTGTATTATTTAGTTTATCAGAGGTATCAGTAGTTACAGTTGCTTGGCTATGAAGGACCAATTGGGTAAACCAATTTGCCACCCTGATGCAGACCAGCGCTGTATCTGTAGTTAGGTAAGAATATTAAAGACAGAAGCTGGACGATTGTCCCTAGGTTTATTTTCAGGGACCCCCTAGAATTTTTATTTTGAGACATTTGTCCCAAAAAAGTTGGGACGCTGTGCAGAATGTCAATAAAAATAGAATACACTGATGTGCAAATCAAGTAAACCATATTTTTAAAGGAAAATAGTACAAAGACAACATATCAGATGTTGAAACTGTGAAATTTTATTGTTTTTTGGAAAAATATATGCCCATATTGAATTTCATGCCAACAACACATTCCAAAAAAGTTGGGACAGGGGCATGTTTACCGCTGTGTTTCATCACCTCTTCTTTTAACATCACTCTGTAAGCATCTGGGAACTGAGGACACACTGTTGTAGTTTTGAAAGTGAAATGTTTTCCTGTTCTTGTTTGATATAGTATTTCAGCTGCTATTTTTCATTTCAAAATGTACAAAATGTTTTCTATGGGTGACAGGTCTGGACTGCAGGTAAGCCAGTTTAGCGCCTGGACTCTTTTAGTACGAAGCCATGTTGCTGTAGTACATGCAGAATGTGGTTTGGCATTGTCTTGCTGAAATAAGCAGGGCCCAAAAATCATTGCCAGCAAATACTGGTTTTTGGCATTGTCCCTTGCGTACAGAGATTTCTTCAGATTCTCTGAATCTTTTAATGATATTATGTACTGTAGATGATGAAATATCCAAGTTCTTTGCTATTTTGCGTTGAGAAATGTTATTCTTGAATTGTTGCACTATGTGATGGCGCAGTCTTTCACAGAGTGGTGAACCCCTCCCCATTTTTATTTGTTGTCTTTGTACTATTTTCAATGAAATATAGGGTTTAAATGATTTGCATATCATTTGCAATTTGTTTTCATTTACATTTTGCACAGTGTCCCAACTTTTTTGGAAATGGGGTTGTAAAAACTACACACACTGCAGATTCATACTGGATTAAAATCACTCCATAATTATTACTGTCAGACTGTAAAACTACACACACTGCAGATTCATACTGGATTAAAATCACTCCATAATTATTACTGTCAGACTGTAAAAACCACACACACTGCAGATTCGTATTGGATTAAAATCTCTCCATAATTATTACTGTCAGACTATAAAACTACACACACTGCAGATTCATACTGGATTAAAATCACTCCACAATTATTACTGTCAGACTGTAAAACTACACACACTGCAGATTCATACTGGATTAAAATTACGGAACCTCCCCAGATAAAACTAATCCAGCTGCCGTAGGATTTGTGTTAGTATTTGACTTAAAGTAGCACAGATTTGAGTTAAGCCCATCGCTCTGTCACTCAACTTTTAATTCACATCTCTGTCACTCACTCGCTCTGTCTTTGTCTCTCTCTCTCTCTCTCTCTCTCTCTCTCTCTCTCTCTCTCAGTAAAGACATCAGCAAAGCCCCAGTGGGCCCTGTAGATAAATCTCGTCGTGGAGCTCGTATTGCATCGCAAGTGAAACACTTCGCCTTCGATAAACACAAACGGCAGTACGGGATGGGCGTGGTGGGCAAGTGGCTGAACCGTCACTACCGGGGGAGCCTGAGCAGCCAGGTCCAAAAACAGCTGGATGACTTCCACAGTCACAGGTGAGCCAAAACTGCACCAACTAACAGCATCACAAAAAAAATGCAGAGCGTGGCCTCAGGATCCAACCTGGAACAGGTGAAAAGCTGTGAGAAGCCAAGTTCGTATCTGTAGATGTTAATCTGAGAGGAACTGAACGTGTAACAGGTTTAATATAGATCATCTCAACATCCTCAACAAGCTGTTAAAGACACACTGACACCATTCTGTACCTGGAGTTTCACTGGATTAGGGTTTGGTTATGGTTAGGATTAGGGCCAGGGTGAGGGTTAAGATTAGGTTTTGGATTGAGGTCAAGGTAAGGGTCAGGATTAGGACCGGGTTAAGGTTTAGGATTAGGTTTTGAGTTGAGGTTAAGGTTCGGGTTAGGATTAGGGCCAGGGTGGAGGGTTAGGATCAGGTTTTGGGTTCAGGTTAAGGTTAGGGTTGGATTAGGGCCAGGGTGAGGGTTAGGATTAGGTTTTGGTTCAGGTTTAGGTTAGGGTCAGATTTAGGGTGAGGGTTAGGATCAGGTTTTAGGTTGAGGTTGAGGTTAAGGTTGGATTAGGGCTAGGGTGAGGGTTAGGATCAGGTTTTGGGTTCAGGTTAAGGTTAGGCTCAGGGTGAGGTTTTAGATTGGGTTTTGGGTTGAGGTTAAGGTTAAGAGTCAGGATTAGGGCCAGGATGAGGGTTAGGATTAGGTTTTGGGTAAGGTTTGGTAAGGTTATGTTATGTTTATTGGAACTAGCTTATATAGTGTACTTCATGTTACATAATTCATCTGCTTAATGTAAGTAATGTATTAACAGAACATCTACAAGATATTTACTTCAATGTATTCAGATTCTTCACTACTGCTACTTCACTGATATGTTGTTGATGTGTTACTGATGCTTTGTTAAGAGTTTATTAATCATCTACAAAGGACCACTCCAAATAGTGATGCCCAAGAGTTAAGTTCCAACATGCTGTATATCCATTTAAGGATAACACATTGTTTTTTTTCTACAAAAGGTAATATTAATCATAATGTATCATTAATATTTGTTGTGTATCATCACTCTCCAAAGAAAAACAAGTATCTTCAAAATGGCTACTTCACAGGAGAAAAAGGTTTTATTCCAAGTGATTTTGGAATATTTCAAGTGGCATGTAATGCGCTTTAGAATTAAACTCTTCATATGTATCTGGTCTCCATATGTAAATATTTTTATGTAGCTTCATATGTTTAATTTTTTTCTTTCTTTCCTCCTCTCAGGCCTTATTTTACTTACTGGATCACCTTCGTGCACATTCTAATCACCCTGCTGGCCTGCTGTACGTACGGATTTGCTCCCGTTGGCTTCGCCCAGCACTCCAGCACTCAACTGGTGAGCTACTGCGACTAATTCAGGGCATAATGACACCTCAGCGTTTACCATGAGTCAGTTTAGTTAAGTTCTTTTGGGTCAGTTCCTCTGAGCTTTACTGGGTGGATTATTACATTTTATACATTATGTTACACTTGTAAATACAGTTGAATATGATTATAGTCAACACAATTACAGTTCAGCATCGACACAGTCAGATATCGACCTTCAGACCTGTCTGTCTCGATGCAGTCGGGGAACTGTAAACTACTGATGCCGGAACTGTAAGATCTTCTGTCGTGTGTTGATGTGAATGTTTTGGTCATCCTGCTCAGAGGATCCTGATAGAAACATAGACTGAGAGCTGAAATTGAGGAAGTGAGAATGTTTAGTTTGGATCAGGTTGGTGTTCCAGACCGGCTGTGTGTCATTATCCCCCTCAGTCTGCACTCAGTCTGAGATCAGACCTGCTTCTGTCCCGCTGATTCACCCACACTGTCCCCACACGGCCCACTCTTTATTCACTCATTCTTTCTTTGTTCTTTGTTTTTTTGTCTTTCATTCTTTTTTGTTTTGTTTTTTTGTCTTTATTTCTGTCTTTCTGTTTTTTGCTTTTTTGTTCTTTCCATTTGTCTTTCCTTCCTTCTTTCTTTTTCATTATTTCTTTATTTCTTGTTTTTTTCTGTTAATTTCATTCTTTTTTCTGTCTTTTGTTTTTTCTTTCTTTCGCTCTTTCTTTTATTCTTTCTCTCTTCTGTTCTTCCTTTTTTGTCATTCTTTCACTCTTTCTTTCCTCATTTCTCTTCATTTTCCTTAATCTGTTGTATCTCTGCTGTCCTCTAGGTGCTGAGGAATAAAGGGATCTATGAGAGTGTGAAATATATTCAGCAGCAGAATTTCTGGATCGGTCCTGGATCTGTGAGTGATATTAAAATTATAAGATTTAATGATTTCCATATTAATTGCAGTTGTGTTTCATGTTGAGGTAACTGTGTGTGTGCATAGGCTGACTTGGCTCAGTGTAATTGAATGGAAATGTGTGTTATGTGTTTTTAAAGTAAGCTGATACAGTGATTATTATTTGAGTGTAAGCTGGGTGGACAGTGAGGACAGTTCAGTAATAATGTCACTGACCTCTCCTCCTAGTGGACAGACTCTGCTTTGACCTGAGTTTATCCAGCTAACTGAGGAATCCTGTTTCGTGAAATAATCCGCTACAGAGCTGCTCGCTGAGATTCGTGTTGTTGTGTTTTGCAGGAAGACCTGATCCATCTGGGGGCGAAGTTCTCACCCTGTCTCCGAAAAGACGAGCAGATAGCAAAGCTGAGGCAGAAAGCCAAAGAGCAGGAGAGAGAATCCGGATGCTGCGTACAGAACGACAACTCCGGATGTGTTCAGACGCTCCGAGACGATTGCTCTGTATGAAAAAACACTCACACACACTCACACACACACACACACACACACACACACACACACACACAAACACAGACTGCCTTAGCCAGAGGACAGAATAAGATAATGAAACAGCTACGTCTTTTATTCAGAGCGTTCTTCTTATCAGAGGTGCTGAAGTGCCAAACAGATAACACAGCTGGATCTGGGAGGAAAGTCCCTGTATAGTTATGATCTAAGCAAGTGTGTTAGTGTTTATAGCTAATCAAAAACTTGCATTCATAGCACCAGTAACACAGTGCTGGATCAGAACATTATGTACACAAACAGGAAATAATGCTGCCTTCAAGTCCTGTTTTTCTCCTTAACCCTTGTGTGGTGTTCATGTTTTCGTTACACTGTGGTCCGGTGGACCCACCACATTATTGTTTTTTTAAATCAATACGGCCTTTTTGGATTAATAAAATAATCCTCCTTTGCAGTAAAATAAAGCTCTGCTGATCATTTAAACACAGTTTTAACAATAAATGGTCTTTGACGCTGGAGGTAATTTAGCCTATAACTAATTCACCCTTCAAACCTGAAGGTTGGCGCACCGACTGCTGGTCACCACAGCAGTGCAGACAACAATCTCGCCTAGCCAGTACCTAACGAAAAGACAAAGAGAAAGGTTTAAGACGAACATACACAATTCCGAGACATATGGACTTATCCGCATTTATAAGTACTCAGTCGGTTTCATGATATGTTTAATCTGCAGCGAGAAACTAAATCTCAAATACTAAAAAGTCGCCAGGATGAAGTCAGCTTCTCTATCGCCAGCTGCTTGTTTGAATTATCCCGTTCCATCTTAAATTGTGCAGCAGTTAAATTCTGGCACCTCAGGCACCATTTTAGGTGGAACGGGGAAACTCGAACAAGAGCTGGCGAATCAGGAGCTGACTTCAGCCTCGTAAAAAGTCGAACATTGACAAGCATTTTACAAGAAACCATTCAACTTTTGTGGAAAGGTTTCCTGCCGGAGTTGTGAGAAAAATGGCTATAGCTGAGCTAAAGCTTAAAGCAGAGCAAAGTAAGTGAATTTTTGTTTAAATTAAATTTGTTTTTTTGCCTATACTATAACATCAGCACATACTGAGACATATTAACATCCAAGATGGTAAAATGGACAAAAAATGTTGTGGTTCCCAAGGTGGTTTGATTTTTGTTGAGGACAAAATGGCTCTTCTTAACAATTTCTCTAAAAATACCAGATGTTTAAAATATCACAAGTGGTCAGCGTAGGGTTCTCCTTTTGCAGCTGTAGCCAGTCAGCAGCCAGTCCATGTTGTCCACCCTCACACACACATATACAAACACATACACACACAGACACACACTAACAGCAGGCCATGTAGGAGGAGAACAGAGTGAAGGGACACAGCACCTCCACACTTTTACTCCCCGCGGGATCACCCCAACACCACGTGTAATATAAATGTGTGGGGTGTGTACAGAGTGAAGTCATTCAAGATGTGTTATTGTATATGTTCTTCATAGAAAATGAGCCAAGGCCAAGGAATCTGGGGTTGAAATAATAATAAATCGCATCATTTTTTCTTTTGGTAAACACTGAAAGAACACCACACAAGGGTTAAGGTCCATTTATAATGTTAGTGTGCTTTCATGTACCAAAACAAGCACGATTTGTTTTTTTACATACTCACTTTTCACCTTATCTTTTAAACATACTGTTTTTCTTGCTGTGATATATGCAAATGAGCTCTGTTCTGATTGGCTGCCCTGTATTGCACCTTATTAAGAAAGCAGTCTGGGCTGAAACGCTCCTTATAACTTCACCATGAATGGACGCAGAGCTAAAATGGTGTAGGCTGAATAAGCTGATATATGTAAATACTTTAGATTTTGAGACATCACAAAAAAAACAAGGAATTCCAAACTGGCTGTTTTTGCAGCTTAGTGAGTAGATTGTACACTTAACAGTGTTTACATCCTATATTAAACCTTTTTTTTTTTTTCCAAAAAGCAAGGAAAATTCAGTTTTCAATTATATAGTCACAGCGGTCACTGATAATCATATTGCAAACAAGTTATATTCCAGTTTTTCAGCTGCCACACAAGAACACTGCAGGTGAAGGTCTTCACCTGTCTTCACACAAAAGACTGAAATGAGAAGGGCACTGCATAAATTAAACCTATTAAACCTAAACCCTTATTATTATTATTATTGTTGTTATCATTATATGAGCTATGTGACTTGATGCATCTAACTAAATAACAGATTGGGCATTCACTGCTCTTTATTTTGTTGCATTAATGTAAAAAACGTCCTTTGAAAAAGAAAACAAAGCAATAAAGAATTTTACTGGACTGTATTTTGTTTCCAACCAAAACCACTCAAACACATGTTATTTTTACAACCTCCAAGTAGAAGCTTCTGAAGAGAACTTAAAGGCAGATAAATGGTAGATATTTGGTAACTCATTAGTTTGTTTGCTGGCGATGCGTGTGATTCATTCACGTGACGTTACTGAGTAGGATGTGCGCATGCGGGTCATTTCAGGACGCCAGTTCGTTCACATTGACAGATTTGAATCACTTATCCAAACAAGTGTGAACCATCATGCCAGAGAGATCGGATTTGAGCAAAAAATCGGATTTGAGCAATGAGGCTTGTGAAGGTAGCCTTTTTTGTCTGGGCAGACTTCACCACCCACAATGTGTGATACTATAAACAATGCATTTCTAATAAGCCCTGTGTTAGTAATGTTTTCAGTCTGAGAACCATTTGCATGATTAAAGAGCTCTTGAGATTGCAGACTGCAGAGTGATGTAGCTGGTTCTAAATAGTGCTGTGCACAGTAAAGTTCTATAGAAGTTCTATGTAGCACCAAAAAGGGTTTTGCTATTGTTATGATGTCAAGCCTGTAACAATAGAACAACCCTTTTTGGTGCTAAATAGAGCCCTTTTCACATTTTCCATCAATCTGAAGAACGCTTTGACGATGCAAAGAACCCTTTAATCATGCAAAGAGTTCTTTGAGTGTTCGTGGTTCTGTGCAGAACCATTTTCTGTACTAAAGAACCCTTGAAGAACCATCTTTTTTAGGTATGTAGCCTAAGATCAAACAGCTTAAGCAGAAGTAGCAGGTCAAAAAACTACTTAAGTACTGAGTAACTTATAGAACTGCAGTGGACCTTCTAGTAAATCCAGCATCTATTAGCACAGAAACTGAAGATTGTTATGCTCTGTTCTCTTTTTTGGATCCTTTTGGTCTAAAATAAAATGATAAATCTCAAAAGTCAGAGGCCTGACCAATCACAAAGCAGTACGCTGTCAGTGGCGTAACCAGATGAAATTAAACACAAAAACTAAATTAGAAACTAATGACTAAACTGAGTAAAAAGCAGATTACTCACTGACATACATGAGTCCTAAATAGACTTTGCAATTGGTCGCTTCTGCTTTAGAGCGGATTTGTTGACGTCTTTGAGGTCAGATCTGTCTAAAGTCCCCTGTCTGAACCATCTCTGCTCTGTTATCCGTGATCGGACAAACAGTCACTTGCTGCCACCTAGAGAGCAGTTAGTGTCAGTGTGCAGTTTGTTTTTGCATTCTGTTGCAGACAGTAGAAATATGCTGTGTAATAGCATGTCATGAGAAAGAAAATGTGAATAAAATACATCAATTCCTGACTATATTTTTAACGTTTAATAGTAGGGATGCACAGTGATGTCGGGCTCATATCAGTATCTCCGGATAATGACTTAAGAAATGATTCACAACGGACAAATTTTTATTTTTATTTATTTAATGATGTTATTATTGGACGCTGGGGTAGCAGAATGTATGGGCAACGCTGGCTTACTGCGCTTAAATGTCTGCACATTATTTATTTTACTGCATTTGTATGCCTACAGAAATAAATACAATATTTCTCTGCAATCCAGGTAGATGTAGTCCTATTTTTGACGTAGTCTACATTTGATAAATGTTTATATATCTGTATCAGCACATGAGTATGTGAAAAATACATGAATACAAGTACATGAAAAATATTGAATATTGGTTCATCCCTATTTTATATATAAAATAATTCTAATTCATATTTTCTCTTCTGTGTTATTACAGGAGACTCTGGCCACCTTCATCAAGTGGGACAATGAGACCGTAGACATCCGTAGGTCATCAGGGGCCGTGTGCCATCAGGACCCCAGGTACCACTTCAGATCAATTTGAAAATGGGGGTTGAAGATACAGTGGTATAAATGTGAATGCTGATATGTTCCTGTCCAATCATATGGATTTTATCATAGCCTGTTTACTGTAGTGAGCACAAAACCCAAAAACCACAGATGCACTTGTAGCAAAAGAGACCCACAGCTTGTTTCATTGCCTGTAAATTGTATATGTGCAGGAATATGAAGAAGCTACTAAAATGCAGGCTGTAGTGTGCTGTTTACTGTAAAGAACAGAAAACTTTTCAGTTGTAGACTGTCTCTCCTTGTGTTTAGTTTTAGACTAAGAAGAAAGCTTACAGTTATTGCAGATGAGATTATAAAGTCAGCTATTCAAAATTAACAGTAATACATATTTTTGTTTATCGTGAACGGAAAATATTGCAGTTTAAATTTCTGTTATGTGTTATCTGCCTGCTGACAAATCCAAAGTCTTAGTCTGTTCTTTTTGGCTTTTTTTCCATAGGACGTGTGAGGAGCCAGCATCAGCCAAGCCTCATCTGTGGCCCGATGACATCACAGAGTGGCCGGTGAGTGGTCCTACCTTATGTACTTCAGTAATAACTCCTACACTGCAATTATACATCAATTAAATATGTTATTTTAGGAAAATAATCACACTATCACATCATTTTACTGTCTTAAAAACTAAGACATTTTGTGTATTTCACATTTTGTTGTTTCCAGTCGTAACTTTAACACTATAAAGTTTGGTCAGGAGGGGGAGCCGTGCAACCTTAAACTCCGCCTATGAGCACAGCTGCTGACTCACGAGCTGCTGAATGCTGTGATTTTATTGGCTCCCTACTGAAACATCTGCTCAAACCATGGTGTGCTTCATGTAAATGATATGTAAATGAGGTGCTGCTAGGCTGGCCCTTGCACTTGCACTGAAGCCGATTCATCATTTGCGCCCAAATCTCTGCTTGTTTCTACGTCATACAAAAGTTATGTACGTCTTTAAAGGTGGTCAGATCTGTCCTTTTATATGAATAAGAGCCAATGAGTACACCTTTGCTTCAGGGGAAGGTGCTCTTTGGATAGAAAGGGGATTTATTTGTCAGATGTTTTTAATTAGCGTCATTTTATTTTGCATTTTATTCAACTAAAGACATTATATTTTGCATGTGGGTTGTCCTTGTGTGATGAATTCTCATGGTCTCTTCTTAGGTATGTACAGAACCACGCACATGGAATTACACAGGCCTTCGGCACATGGACTGCACCATCAGGGGCCGCCCCTGTTGCATAGGAACCAAAGGAAGGTAATTAATACAGTCAGTCTGCTCAAACAAGGTGGAACCCTGGGGTAGAACTTTACACTGTTTTCTCCCAATATACCCAAAATATAGTCAGTCATCTAAGGCAGTTTTGGTGTCTGAGGTTTGCTTCTTTTGTGTTGCTATGAGGCTAATATAGCTACAAGTAATGGAAGTTTAGGTGCACAAATAAGCAAACCGCGCACCAAGTCATCAAGTTTACTTGCTTATGTGGTTTCTGACACGAAGTGATAAGGGTATCCATAAAAATGGAGAAAAGGTATGTAGCAGAACTAAAAACAGTAAAATCAGACATATAAAAATATCCTGTTTGAAGTTATTGGCTTTGTGATGTCATGAAAACCATCACATTTGCATATACACACCTATTCAGTCTTCAGCAGTTTAGCCCCGCCCACTCAAAAGGAGTGTTTCAGCCTGGACTGCTTTTTGAACAAAGCACAATACAGAGCAGCGAATCAGAACAGAGATCATTTACATTCGTGAGTCTTAAAGGCACAGTAATCAAATCTATGTGTTTATTTCTACATTGGTCTAAATGGTCATGTAAAAATGGATTACGACTGTGTTTCTCACAAACGTTATAACACCACTGCCTTTATTGTGGCAGGCCAGGGTTCAATTCCCTGCTCAGGCAGGAGCACCATGCAATAACAATAGTAGTCCTTAGTGTTTTGTTGCTTTTTTAGATTAAAATAGATGAGATGTGAGCTCTGCAGGCTGCTGTATCTGTGCTGTTGATGTTGATGATGATGATCTCTGTCATGTATGCTCAGGTGTGAGATTGCCACCCGTGAATACTGTGAGTTCATGCACGGCTACTTCCACGAAGAAGCCACGCTCTGCTCTCAGGTAACACACCCCCCGCTACTATTAATGTTGTGTTGATAACTTTGTGGGTTTTATTCATTCCATCATTTGCATATGGTTTAAGAATAGAAGTGGGAAGTATGGAAAAAATGATACTTTTGATGATACATGAGTCACAGTGTTTGTCTTCTGACATCTAGTAAGTTGGAACAGACAAAGTAGTGCCACATTTAAAATACTAAAAAACTATCAAAAAATACTATCAAAATAATCCTATAAATCTAAATCCGGTTAAACATGACTAATTATGCTCTCTTTGTAATCAAACATGCAGTTGAAAAATGTTTTTAAGTATTGAAGATATCCATGATACACTTGGAAAAGCATATAGTGGCATAATTTATCACAATAAAGATAAATATTGTCATTATTTTCCAGCTCTGTTTCAGAATGCATGTTAATCTGTTTTTAGCTGATGTGTTACAGTTCCACAGTTTTCCCATACTAATTCCTTCAAGGGACTAAACAAGGTTTCTCAACTCTAGGCCTGGTAACCCACTGTACAAACCCGATTCACCTCCTGAACAGCTTAGAATTAGCTGATGTGTGTTTGATCCAGACCCATTACTTAACCTAGTCCTTGTGTAACCTTTGGACAAGCATTCAACCATTTGCTCAGATGTATAAAGAGAACTATTAGATTTGAGTATAAAGCTGAATTGTGCTGTGCAGTTGAGCTAAGAATTGTGAAAGTGTATCCAGTGTAATTTGTGCTGTTTCAGGTTCATTGTCTGGATGAGGTTTGCGGTCTGCTTCCATTCCTAAACCCGGACATCCCGGATCAGTTCTACAGGCTGTGGCTTTCACTCTTCCTGCATGCAGGGTAAGAAAATAATGATCTGGGTCTAGCACAGCGATGACACTGACATGGTGGTAGCATGGTAATGTGTGTAGCGCTGGTACGAGTGTATCTGGGTTGTTGCTGGGGTTTTTACATGGAGTGGACCAACTCCCAACGATATCCAGCCAAGAGCATCTTTGTGGTCAGAAACTGACCATTGTTGAGGTTGGCTAACACACTGTGCATCAACAGATGGTTTACATTATCTAACTGTACACCAGCGAAGTGGAGCTACAAAGTGTTTCCAATGGAAAGACCAGCGATTATGTATATAATGTTTTTTACACTACTGAAACATAATAATTACAATAATGTCATAATAATTACATTCTAAAAGCAGTCGCTCAGATTTGTTTTGGTTGAGTAATGACCAAAAGAGCATGTGGCACTAAAATCATGCGTTCACTCACTGTCTGATGAGCTCTCTCTCACATTATTTAGCCCACTATATGGACTAAATAACATGTTGCGATTATGATAGGCCTTGCAATATTGCCTTGGGTTGATAACAGATCTAGGCTGCAATAACACTGACGTGGTGGTGTGTTAGTGTGTGTTGTGCTGCTATGAGTGGATCAGACACAGCAGTGCTGCTGGAGTTTTTAAACACTGTGTCCACTCACTGTCCACTCTATTAGACAGCAGTCCACCTTGTAGATGTAAAGTCAGAGATGATAGCTCATCTGCTGCTTCACAGTTTGTGTTGGTCATTCTCTAGTCCTTCATCAGTGGTCACAGAACGCTTCCCAAAGGACACTGTTGGCTGGATATTTTTGGTTGGTTGACTATTCTGAGTCCAGCAGTGACACTGAGGTGTTTAAAAACTCCAGCAGCACTGCTGTGTCTGATCCACTCAGACCAGCGCAACACACACTAGCACACAACCACCACGTCGGTGTTACTGCAGTCCTGAGAATGATCCACCACCCAAATAGTACCTACTCTGTGAGGGTCCATGGGGGTCCTGACCACTGAAGAACAGGGTAAAAGGGGGCTAACAAAGTATGCAGAGAAACAGATGGACTACAGTCTGTAATTGTAGAACTACAAAGTGCTCCTATACAGTAAGTGGAGCTGATAAAACGGACAATGAGCATAGAAACAAGGAGGTGGTCATGATGTTATGCCTGATCGGTGTATTTCACATTTGACCACTGCTTGGAAAGATTTATGATGTACATTTTCAGCCTGGTCAAGAATGCTAGACAACGAAACAAAACAAAAGCTCCACTACATGAGTTCTGCTCTCCAGTAGAGAGTAAAGTGGACAAGTTTGTCCAGCACAGCAGTTTGGCAATAGTTTGGTTTCCACCCAAACAAATATATTCTCTGAAAAAAGATGGCGCCTCAAGGGTCCTTTAGTAAAGAAAATGGCTCTAGATAGAACCATGAAAACTCAAAGAACCCTTTGCATGAAAGGCTTCTTCAGATTGATGGAGAATGTGCATGAATGTGCTATAGACGGTTCTATGTAAAACCTTTTTGAAAAGGGTTCTGTATAGCACTCAAAAGGGTTCTTTTATTGTTACAAGCCTGACACCATAACAGAAGAACCCTTTAGGGTGCCATATAGAACCATTTGCAAAAAGGTTCCATATAGAACCATCTCTAGCACATTTTCGATCAGTCTGAAGAACTCTTTCATGATGCAAAGAACCTTTTAATCATGCGAAGGGTTCTTTGAGTGTTCATGGTTCTATAAAGAACGATTTTCTTTACTAAAGGATGTTTAAAGAACCATATTTTAAGAGTGTAGAGAAGCAGCAGATGTTAATTGAGTCACATATCATCTGTGCAGACTTTACTTAATAATTTTATAGGCTAACCTTAGAGGCTAACCCAGTTGGTAGTTATATAAGGTAAAGCTCTGTAATGCTGGTATTCAATAACTGAATTTTCACAGTTTTCACAACTATAATATCTTTTATCGCTATAATTCTGCAAATAATAATTATTTGTCTGAATTTACATTATCGTTAAGCTTATTGCTAAAAATGCTAATTACTTGTTTCATCCAAACATCCGAGCAGTGCCTGTGATGGGTCACAACGCTCACAGCACATAAACGATTGATTTCTGTTTTTAAATATTTCTTATGATTTCTTTAAAGGGCTCATTTGCATATTTCAGCTAGGCTTGGGTGGTTTGCGGTGGTCAGGTGGTCATAAATAACAAACAAACATTAACAAGAGTAGATAAGAGTAGACTGCAGTGCACGGTTTTCATGGCATCATTCACCCACAGTTCACCAACAGTTGCTAAATGTTAAACAGTGCTGCAAACTAGGAGAGAGGAGCTGGACAGTATTAGCTAAGCTAACATGATAAACAGCCCTGCTATCCACAGAACATGTTCAGGTCTGGCTAACTGAAGCACCGACACAAGTTTAGATGATAATGATTCAAATCTGAGGGACTGAAGTTGAGCAGCTGGCATCAAAGGGACAGTAAGGTGAAGTTAAACCTGTTCTGTGGTGTCTGGATGTGTAGGCTGATCAGTTAACTTAACATTAGCAGGCTACAGACCTGAACGGTGCCACACACCACAGTACAGGTTTGATTCTGACCAACTACTGCTCTGCTAAAACAAGTGTAGATGATAAAAAAAATAATGTCTGAGAGAGCAAAAGTGGAGTGGCTGGTATCAGAGTGACAGAAAGCTGAAATCGAACCTGTTCTGTGGTGTTTGAGACTGTAGCGTTTTGGCTACGCTAACGATGCTTTAATTAGCAGGCCAAACAGGCCACACAGCACAGCACAGGCTAAGTTCCAGCTGACTGATGCTAAAACGATGCCCATTTAGAGGATATCTGAGAGGACAGAGTTGAGTGACTGGTGTTAGAGTGAAAGTTAAAATTGAACGTGTTCTGTGGGGAGTGTAGCTCGTAGCTGCTGCTGAACTGCTATTGTGCTTAGTTTTTCAGAGTTTTTTCTTGGCTCTAATTTTTCCCCTCTTTCTATCAGCGCCACCTGTTGGTCAGCTTCCTCGCCACCAATCAGCAACCTTCTCTAAAATATAAATGGGTGGAATGTGTTTCTTTAGCTGCTCAGATGAGAAACAGACATTTGTCATCATTTTTAAACTGCAGTAAAGCTTATTATCTCTAACATACAATATATTGTGCAGACCTTGTTCACAGTATTATGAGCCAGGAGAAAAGGAGCAGTTATGAATATGAATAAACATCCCTAATAGCAAGAGGATAGTGGACCACTGTTGGTGGCCGTCCATATTGGGCCTAGTCATGATTTTTTTCTCTCTCTCAGATATTTGTAATATTTTTCTTAATTTATTTTCTGAAATAAAAGGCCTTTTAAATCTGTTTGAGGAGATTAAAAACTAGGTAGAGCTTGTATGCAGGACAGTAATCTGGGTGGTCCAAGGGTGGACCAGAAGTGGCAAACAGTCAGCGGAGTGCCGACCTTATTAAGCCAATGGACTGATATATGCTCGCTGTCTGGGATATTAATCACTGAAAAAGTAGACTAGTGAATACATCATTAATTCGTCAATGATTTAAATGTATAATGGATATATAGAATAATAAATTCATGGATGAACAAAAGTACTGACTTGATCAACTAGGCCAGCGTTGTGCTTCTTTCATCAAAGCAGAAGCTTTTAAAATACATTTTTCAGAGTTATAATGAGAGATCAAACCTCTGCTGAACTCATGTTGCAGTCATACTCTTGTTTTTTGTCTTTCCCTCTCGTTCAGCCTCCTGCACTGCCTGGTGTCTGTGGTGTTCCAGATGACCATCCTGAGGGACATAGAGAAGCTGGCCGGATGGCTAAGGATTTCCATCATCTACATCTTCAGTGGCATCACAGGGAACCTGGCCAGTGCCCTCTTCCTGCCTTACAGAGCCGAGGTAGGACATCATATCTTTCTTCTGCACTGAAAAAGCAGAGATGTGACATTCAAGAGTCTTTACCTTAGCGAAACTGATGGAGTCCAGATGTAGACTGTTTGTTTTTCACCCTCCTGCTCCTCTTTTGTCCTCATTTGCCATTGCTTTGATTGGTGAACATTTGAATTAGCATGAGCTTTCTAAATCTCTTTGGCTTTAAAATTAACCTGAAATAAGTATTGATCTTTTTTTACATGAAGAACCTGCTTCTGTGGCAAGACCGTTTGTGTTCATGGTATGTGTGAAAGAGTGCTTGATTAAAATATCCCTGAAGTCATAAATTGGAAAACAAAAAGTGTTGTATAATAAATAATTATATATATGTACATTAATTAATTAAAAGGAGCTTAAGCTAACAGCTCCACATGCAAAAACACAGGTTTATCCGCTCAGATTTAAGTCTTTATTCTCCAAGCTTGCGTCAGTGAGGCTTCAATGAGCCGGAGTGAACCTGCTTAGGCCTTCTTGCTAAGATAATGCTATCTTCTAGCATATGAGCAAAGGAACCTCAGGACAACAGCTCAACACACAAATACACAGGTTTACTCTCTCAAATGTGAACCTTTATCCTCTAAACTTGTCTTAATGCAGCATCAGTGAGCCAGAATTGTGATGGGTTTAGCAGTCTTGCTAAGATAACATTAGCCTCTGGTGCTGCATGGATATAAATTAAAAGTGGCTTAAGCTAAATGCACCTCATGCAAAAACATAGGTTCATCCACTCAGATTTAGGTCTTTATTCTGTATGCTTGCGTCAGTGAGGCTTCAGTGAGCTAAAATGAGCCTGTGTGGTTATGTGTAAAGCTTAGACCTTCTCGCTAAGCGAATGCTAGATTCTAGCGATTGTGGAGCAAAAGTAGCTCAAGCTAACAGCTCCACACACAAATACACAGATTTACTCTCTCGGATTTTAGTATTTATTCTCTAAAATTGCATCAGTGAGCCAAAATGAACCTGTGTTGTGGTGAAAATGTTGCATGCTAACCCTGATAGCAAAAGGATAGTGGGCAACTGTTGGCCTGCTGATGGCAAAGCTGGCTGGGGTTTTGCTTAGCGTTTTTTGGGTGGCCCACCAGTGTTTAAGCTGAGTATTGAACAAAAATTCCATTTATCATCGCTCATTTTCCACTCACAGTGCAATTTACTTATTTTTCCTTCCTTCCTTTCTTTAGCTATACTTTGTACATTAGTTAATCTAGCACAGTTTCAGCAACAAAATTTTTTACAAAATCATTATATATTAAGCCTAGTCCTTATTTTTTTCTCTCACTTGTTTGTGATCTTGGTCTTAGTTTATTTTCCAGAAGAAAAGTCTCTGTGCTTTTAAAAATTTTTTGAGGAGGTTAAAAACTAGTTAGTAATCTGGGTGGTCCTAGGATGGACCAGCAGTGGCAAAAAGGCAATATATGCTTGCCATCAGGGAAGCCACTGCAGTAGCATGCTACCTGCTACTAGAACAGTACCAGGCGCCAATACACTAGAATAAAGAACGTGCCCCGCGATGACAGCTGCGAGAGGCTGCCTGAGGCCAGCGCCCAAGTCCCAAGGACAGACGAGAGCCGTGATCGACTCCCACAATGGGTCAAGCAACAAGTTCTCTGTCTCTGTCTTGGCTCAGGTGCTGGTGTTGCTCTTAATAAGAGCCAGCTGATGCTGGTTTTGCACCACACGTTTTCCTCTCGCAGCTGTGGTCAGCACCAGGAACTGTAATGGTCACCGGCTCATTTGTAACATACTAAGCAACTAAGCAGCTATATCGGTCCGCTGGCTTAATAAGGTCGGCACCCCGCTCACTGTTCGCCACAGCTGGTCCACCCAGTTTATTGTCCTGCATACAAGCTTTAACTAGGTTTTAATCTCTTCAAACAAATTTAAAATGCACACAGACTTTTATTTTAGAAAATAAACTAAGACAAATATTACAAACAACTGAAAGAAAAAAAAGGCCTAATATAAAAGGATTTTATAGAAAACGTGGTTGCTGACTCTGTGCTAGATTAAAATCATTTACTAACTAATTTACAAAGTAGAACTAAAGATAGGTAAGAAGGAAAATAAGTAAATGGGACTGTGAGTGGAAAATGAGTGATGATAAGTGGAATTTTTTCTGATACTCTGCTTAACTGCTGGTAGGCCACCCAGTAAACGCTGAGCAAAACACCAATGGACCGCCAGCTTTGCCATCAGTGGGCCAACAGTGGCCCACTATCCTCTTGCTATCGGGGTATTGATAATGTTTGTGTTTTCAGTGGAAAAATGTCTTTAAAGTAACACATTTAACAGAAATATCAGTCTATATAATAATAATAGCAACAACAACAATAATAATAGTAATAATAATACTAATCTATCTCAGACGACTTTGTGAGAGTGAAGTGGAACAGATGAAAGTACTGAGTGAGGACAGAGTGTGAGAAGGTGAAAGACAGAAGCAAGGAAAGTGCCATTAAAGAGGTGTGGGGCAGAAAAGTGAGACGTTCGGGATATATGCGGCCAATAGAGGGAGAAAACAAAAGAGAGTGACTGTGAGCGAGAGCCCAGGAGAGTGCTGCATGTAAACGGAGCCAAGTGAAAGAGCTTAGCCAGTTAGTTGAGGAGCTTTTCTGGATTAGAGGGCGTAAGGCCTTGTGTCTGGAGGGGAAGTGTTTTTCTCACCGGCCACTCTGCTCTAACGTGCCCAGGGTCAGCGTGATCTCCGCCCACGTGTAGGGCCCGAGTCACCATAGCATTGTAGCTAGTTATTGCATTTTAGATTGGAAAATAGGCTAGTAGGAGAAAAACATGGTTGAATGAACATTGAATTAATGATAGCTAATGATAGTTATGATAGAGGCCTTATTCAAGGTTTTGGTCCTAATATTCACATAAAATAAAGAAATAGGTTTGTGCAGATGTAGAATGTGCGCTGCTGCTGCTCTTCTGTCCTCACTTGCCATCACTTTGATTAGTAAACATTTAAATTAGCATGAGCTTTGTAAATCTCTCTTGCTTTAATCAGATTCCGTTGCTAAGTAATAAGCTCCTCACTTTATCAATTCAAGGCTTGTTGAAGGCTTACAAGATGCTTAAAAACAGTTTTTGACCATATGTGGCCTCTTTAGCACCCTGATAAATTATATTAATTTAGGACTAGCACTGCTAACATTGTATAAATTCATGAATATCATACATAAATTAGCGTATATCAACAGCATGTTGTTTGGTAATGGCACATGTTCTACGGGTCGTGGATGGATCAAGGGTCATGGTACCATTCCAAAGTTTGGAATAGCTGGTCATATTAATAATTCTTGTTATTGTATTCAATAATAACTCATTCATTGTAGACTGAAATATATTATCGGCTAGACTCCAGAAGGCATTTTAGTTTGGGAACAACCTGTTATGTGATAAATAACTGTAATTTATTTATGATGATATCTGTCTCACTTCAAGTGCAAGGCATCTTTGATACTAACACTAGATATATATATATATATATATATATATATATATATATATATATATATATATATATATATATATATATATATATGATTAGATATATACATCTAATTTCTTCTTTTTTTTGCAGCTTATATACAGTACACTTCAAAAGTTTGGAAATGCTGTTTTCAATTATAAAAAGCCAATTTTGCTGCAGTTACGTACAAAAAAAGTTACGTTAACATGATTCAAATCTCCAGAATGATGAACAGGGCTGTAGATGTTTCTTAAATGACGAAAAAGCTGTAGAACATCTAGAATGATGTTTTAATGAAATTAACATTGAGAGCGCCTTATATTTTTAAAAGTGATAATCAGATATCAAGGCAGAAAACCTGACAAGTATATCCTGATTAACTATCTAATAAAATGAAATACCTAAATAGCTAATACTTTCTGGTGCCTAATATTTCAATCTACATTGTAGAAGTTATTATTGTTATGTGAAATATCATATTGTGATGTATAAATATCAATGATGAGCAAGTCCAAATTGTTGAACACTAGTTTAATCTATAAACTAGTCTTAAATATGCACAGTTTAATAGTGCTAACAGGTGGGACTGAGATCTCTCTATTCAATGGTTTTGTCTATTCATACAGTTATTAGTTTTCATGAAATACCTTCTTTTAAAGGGACCATACCATGGAAAAGTGATTTTTTTTTTAATGTAAAAAACGTTTGACATGGTATTTAAATATATTTAAAGTTACAAAATGGACTATTCAGTCCCCAGTAAAGTCTATATATGGAAATGGAGCTGCAAAAACAGCCTGTTCAGCCTATAGAAGCTTCGCTACGCCCATTCATGCAGATGTTATAAGGAGTGTTTCAGTCCAGACTGTCTTATGAATGAAGTACAATACAATCCAATCAGAACAGAGCTATTTTACATATAACACAGTCGGCACAGTAAGAAGAAGAAAAGTAAGATGAGAAAAAAATCTAATAAATAAAAAAAGCCAAAGCACTTTTCCACCACGTTGGTGAGGCTGAGGCTACTCTGCTACACAATTCCGCACAGATGTTCTCGGACGTCCTCTCGTTTATCTGCTTTGTTTTCTCTCTGTGTTCTGCTCATTCACCTCCAGCTAATCCTGTTTTTTATCTGGTGGCTGATGTGCTGATGGAAAAAGAGGGATGGATTAGAGATGTCTAGATGATTGTCTGAGATGCTAAAAGCGGCACGCCGTGCTGAGCTAGCAGATGCTAAAATAAGCTGGAATAAGAAGTGAAGTCATCATGCTTGTCTAGCAAGAGCCTCAAGCTAGCTCGCATGCAGCATGGATCAGACTTTATAAAGCCTTTCTAAAAATTGTTTGCAGGAGTTAGAGACAAGAAAGAACACAGATCTATAGAGCAGTAGTAATTAATAGTAATAACAGTAATAATGATAGTAATAATGATAAATTGATGCTTTGTAGCAGCAGTAGAGGTATCAGTGCAGCAGTGGTGAGTTTTAAATGTTTAATAA